TTAAGAGATTTGTTGAAATATTAAGGTACTCTTGTTCCTTCTGTAATTCTGATCTTGATTTTTCTACTATTGAAACTTTTACCGTTACTTTAAAAATTTTTCGACTCTATTTAGATAATAATGCATTACTACTTTTAGACGCGATTAAGAGTTCAGCATGTTGTGCAAGAGACTCCAATGTCGTTTCTTCATCACATTAAGGAGACAGTATGTATTGATAGGAAGCCTTTAAGGTACACTGAGAATACTATTATAACCTTCTCGGATCATCTAACGTTTCTAAGAATAATTCTAAAACGTTCTTTAGTATTCACAATATTACCTACGTTTTTATATAACAGATTTTGTTCAGAAAGATTACAATCACTTATGCATACTTTGGAAATAATAAACAATAGCGAATTTGCTGCTCTAGCAGCTGCAGCAAGCTTTGCTACGCTTGTTAGTACCTATTCTAAAGGTAAAGAAAGATTGCTGAATGTATCTACTGCTTAAATTTAAACGTTTTAAGATTCCTATACTTTGCACTAATTGTTAATCATTTTCTTGTTAGGATTCACTCTCATCATTGAGCCATTTGATGATCGTGCACCCACAATACCAGATCCAGTTCTACATTTTAGGTAGCCCCGACTAATTGTCAGCTAAGCATCAAGCATACGTTTTAAATTGTGCAGATACTGAGATCGTACCCTCTGTTCTAATAATTACAGTTGCATGGATGCATCTATAGCTATAAAGCCGGTATTTGATCGTTTTCAATCCGTAGTTATAACCTCAGGGGTACGTTGATACTGTGATTTTTATTTCTATCGCAATATTTCTATTTTTTCTTTTACTTGTATTTTCATATCTAACTCTAAGAGATTTAATGTCCCTTGCTGCTTTATTACTTGCTCTAGACTTTATCACCTTTAGACATGTATCCGAAAATTCTAAATTTTCGCCCTGTATCTATGTCATCATATACGATGACATTGGCGCGTCCAAGTTTATGCCCATTAGTAATTATCATATTTTCCTTATTTTCTTGATTCTTATCACCTTTCAATAAGTAAACAAGGTGTTTTGACATTCCTGTATTTACTAGATTGTTACTAGAGGAAATGATCAAGTTACAATAAGTTCCAAATTCGAATCACGCGAAGATATTGGTAAAGTTTTTATAAGAGGTTGTTTAAAAAGCAAATGTAACCTAAAACTTTTCGGTTCTTTCGTCAGCTGTCATGAGAAACTATGGTAATCTACTAGCAGAGCTGACCGCTTCTGTACCAGATGGAGTTGTTTGTTTCTTCCCGAGTTATACCTATATGGTAAATCCATCGTTAATATCGATTTAAACCAAGTTTTTAAGTTGTTCAGCAATCCTTTTTAACAAGTTACCAATTGTTATTTCGGAAATATATCAGGAATCAGTCGTAAGCTTTTGGTGTGACCAGGTAATTTATCGCTAGCGATTACTCGTACTTTTTTTCTTCTAGTAGATGGAATTCGTTTACTATATCTATCGTTTCTTCTTTCTTTATAATATATACTAAGCGCAATAATTTAATTTTGGGTATATTTTAGGGTATTATGAATAATATTATTAGAAACAAGCTCTTATTTATTGAGACACAAGATCTGGCTGAGACTGTCTTGGCTTTAGAAAATTATTATAAGGTTTAAGCTCATAGCATGTTAATCACGTAATTTAAAACTTTTTCATTATAGAAATTCGTTGCTTTATTACTACTTAGGCGTGTGAAAATGGTCGAGGTGCAGTATTATTATCTGTAGCACGTGGCAAAGTTTCGGAAGGAATTGACTTTGGTATGCTGTAAATACAGTTTTCGACCTGAATTCACGATTAACATGAAATATGCTTAAACTATCTGAACATAGATCATCATTACGGCCGAGCCGTACTCATGTTTGGTATCCCATATGTGTATACACAAAGTCGTAAATTACGGGTAAAGCGGTATAAGTACAGTATCACAAGTTCCTCTGCTGCTACTCTAAAACACTCTCTTACTACTCGCAGGCCAGATTAGATTATCTTCGGGAAAATTATCAAATTCGAGAAAATGATTTCTTGACCTTCGATGCAATGAGACACGCAGCACAGGCAAGTGTGGATCGATAAATGAATATAACTACACCTATATATGGTTTAATTTAAAATGTAATTGATCAACTTTTCTTAAATAAAAAAGTGTGTTGGTCGAGCAATCCGAGGAAAATCAGATTATGGTATAATGGTATTTGCAGATAAGGTATGCTTATGGACGATTTCTTAGGTTTTTAAATTAGAATGGACGAACTATTCATTGAGCAGATGACATACTATATTATCTTTTGTTCGAACAGCGCTATTCAAGACTAGATAAAAAGGGAAAACTTCCAAAGTGGATTCAAGTGCGTAATAGTACAATTAAAAATTGCTTCATGCGCTAATATAATCCTAAATTTTTATATTCTTTTTTTAGGAATATTTAAAGGATTCTGTTTGTGATTTAACAACAGATGAAGCTGTACAGGTTGTAATCTTAATGCGTTCCAATTATTAAAGTATATCGTAACTCGATTTTATTGTCGGATTTCTTTTATTACAGATTTCTAAAAAATTTTTAAGACAAATGGCTGCTCCTTTCAATAAGGTTTGTACTTATATTAAATAGGAAATAATGTAGCATCAATACTATAATTATCTGTCGGAATTATAATTTATTTGTAGGAAGATCAACTTGGGCTATCGCTTTTAACCCTTGAACAGTTAGAATCTAGAGAAGGCCAAGAAGCTGCAAAACTTGCTCAAAGAAGCTGAATTCGGTTAAATTTTTAATTTACTACACGGTGTAATGTACTGTAACATAAAAATATAAATATATACCTAGTATATTGATTATATTTACTTTCGATCTTTGCTGGAAATTAAATTTACAAAGTTAACTTTATGTTGCTAAAGACTATCATGATGATTTATCATTGAAGTGAATTCAGTCTGTAATACCCGTCCTACTATAATTATAAAAGCAAAAATCTATGCACGTACGTTCTACGTACAGATATCGTGTTAATACCCTGACTTTAGTTATACGAAAATAAAGCTACATCACTACTGATTCAAATTTGATGTAATGTTACTTTTTCAATGTTGATTAATTACTGAAGTGCCGGCCGGCATTAATCTAAATACTAAAACTCACTCTCTATTTCACATTTAGTAGCTTATAATTAAAATATCATATAAACCGAACAGTAATGGATATTGCCTATAATTGGATATACTTCATTTCGTGCTATAGAACAATTACATACTGTAATAATCATAGTTTAGAGATTTTATAGCAATTACAGTATATGCTGCACTGCCAGAATATCACATCATAGATACGAACGTTACATGGTGCGCCAGGGTATCACTTAATCTTGACTTTACTTCATCAGGAAAGATCATGTTTTATTACATCACTTCGGATAAATTGTAAATACGCAGATGAAGACATAATTTTTAACCACCTTTTACATTGGTTAATTACGTTTTACCATATATTTATATCATAGATAAATTAGTCGTAAAGTCTTTTGTCGTGTATAATACAAAATATATTCGTTGCGTAAATTATCAATACCAGTTATAATTCCTTTTATGGTGTCTCCCGTAGCAACTTCTCTGGAGAATTTCTTTTCAACATTATAGATTATGATAGTTGTTACATTACCCTGAGCTGTGGTTACACTATGTAACAACAAATTGAACAATTATTACCCTCTTAGTAATGGTAATTATAAATCGTTATCTGATCATTATTAGTTATTATTTATAGCAAAAAACATATATTCAAATTGCATCATAAGCATTACTCACATCAAGAATGTTCCAAAATTTGACCATTGCACAAACATTCCAGGGAGTCGACTATTTACAACTTTAGATGCCCCAGTATTGAATTCTAACTTTTTCTGTACCCAACAAAACGGCTCTGTACTTTCCTGCAAAATTAATTAATTTTCTTAGAACAATAATTGTCCTATTATTGTAAAAGATAATAAGTTTACAAGTAGATTAACTCAATGGCATACCAACTGATATAAATATACGTTTTGATCCCAACAACCTACAGCAACCATATTTTGTTCAGGTGAAAACTTGAGACTTGTTATTCTAATACTTTTAAGCTGAGCGTACCAAAAATCTGTAATAAAATGAAAGCATGTAAGACATTCATCTATGACTGCAGCAATTTTTTGTTAGACGATAGAGTGTGTTTACCCTTGCTTGTGTTAAAGGTATCTTGAGTGCTGTTCCTCCAGATACCAAGATGGCCATCCATGGTGGCCTAATTCAATCAAATTCTATTAACTTCATATAAACTTAAAATGTGGTATAACTATCTAAATAAGATCGCAATAGGACTTACGACAGCCAAGTAGTGACCGCCTCTTGAGTATTCTACAACGGCAATGGCTAATCCAGTATGTAAATTTATGACACTTCGCTATACCATAAAATGATAATTACAGATTTATAGTGAAACACATACTGCTAGTTATTCTTTCAAGTTGTAAATTTAGGAACGTATTTTCTAACATAGGTCGAATAGTCTATCAGCTTAACACTTACTGTAACTAATTTATGGTTAGTGAAATTTAAAATATAAATATCGACCCCATTAGACCCTGCAATCGCCATATTATATACCTAAATTTATAGGAATATATCCATTTAGTTTCCATTTATGAATAATCGTAAACAGTTCTATTGTGAATGTATACAACAAGTTTAAAGCAGAGTGCATACGTCTAACTATAGACAGATTTACCTTATCTAGGCAAGTTATAGCTATACTCTTAGGAACATAACTTAAGTTAATTTCTTCACCATTGATACAATTTAATAATGAAGTAAAGAGGTGAACAGATCGTCCTGCAATACCAATAATCTTTTCATCGGTCGACATGCAGTGACATTCCAATTCTTCATCTTGAACTTGAAGCTTTCGCTGCAGCTCAATTTCAGGTTTACTTGATGTAACACCATCATCTATGCAATAAGAATTGATTAAATAACTGCACATTTCCACTGACTAGGTTTGTAGCAACTTAGCTATGCCAGCATCGACACGAATGCCGAAAATGCTCAACAAAAATGGCATGAAGTTTAGCAGTAAGTTTGATAGAATTTAAAACAATTACAGAATCAAATACATTCCTGAATTGTAAATGACTATAAATAATCTGCAGTTTACCGTTAATATAATTTATTTACTAAGCTAAGAAAACTTCATGGTACCCTCCAAAAATGTCTGTTGTGCATTGTACAGTGTACAGTACTGTATAGCTTACTACATAGATTTGATAAGCAGTATACTGTATAGCAAGGCTTTGTATACGTAGACTTTATAAGCATAAGTACTGTACAGCAAAATATTGTTTGTAAATCAAGAAAATATAACACCAATATCATTCTTACTTCCAGTTGCAGGCTCAGTTTTGTTTTGGTAAAGTTGCAACAATACGACAACATTATTATCAGCTAAACAGCAAATCGCTTCCGTATTATTATTCGCTGCTAGGCAGTTTCCTAAACGAGCAATTGGCGGCTCTAATTTACAGGTAGCATGGCAATCCACCACTCCATAGCATACATTAATATCTTCATTTGCTGCCATGATATTATCTTGAGCTTTGATATGAAGTAGGAAATATCATCAGATAGTAAAATGGATCGCTAGCTCCATTTTACCTCCGTTGCTGTACTATACTCAACGCTTCCTCATTACAATACTGTACTGTACTAGTACTACTACTTACAGTACAGTACGTCCTGTATAGTACTGTATACTTCAGTACTTTACACTGTACTGGACAGTATCATTATGAGTTCTGTACAGTACGAGTACTGTAGGCTACAATCCCATACCTTCCAACGGTTGCCATTACAACGGTTAAAATTTCTGGCCTCGTATAAATTTGAAGGCAAATTGGAGTCGAAAATCATCACATAATCAGCATTAATATTTTACCGACGTTATATCCCAGTGATAAATTAGTTATTTCTATCTTTGGACCTTGACGGATAAATAAAGATTATACTGATTAAAAATTACGCCTCATTCCTAAGCCATTACAATATTCATAAGAGATACGCGTAATTCTACTGAATGTATTGGAGGTGGAATGTTTGGAGTGTCAACCATTTTTAATACTAAAAATTATTTCCAAGATTAGAATATGGCTAAATACCAGCAATCAAGTCAGTTTAGGCCTTCACCAGATGGCATCAATAGATCAGCAGGTAAAATCAAGTTCAGCCATGTATATGATTTCTATTGATACGATACTCAATTAATGAAAGTCAAACAACTTTACGTAGCCAACTTTGACTTAAATATCAATTCACTAAAATAAACTTTTTAATTCATTTATTACCGACTCCACAACATTGCATACTGATAATTCCCTAATAGCAGTACTATATTTCTAATTAAGAAGCAATTACGGATTTGCATTAAGCAACCACTTTATAAAACATCTCGCTGTATACTCTCTAATTACACCAACATGAAATTCTGATATAAACGTTAAATATTACCTTACGCTGCTATTTACAAGTATTATAAATTAACTTAATCTGCTTTAGTAGAGACAAAAATACCGACGCTTAGCCCGTCTTGGAAATCTAGCTATGCTGTTACTAACTCTGCATCTCCAAGAAATTATGATGGAGACTATAATACGCGAGCTAGTCCCAGCCTTGCCAAATATTTTAATGCAGGTACAATCTATTTAAATATGCGGCGTTTTCTTCTTTAGAACATTAGTATTTATAAAGTAGCTAACATATTCAAACTTTTTTGATGATAGGAGATCAATTAAGAGAAATGTTAGCTCGTTATAATCAATATTCAGGTCATTCTCGTAACCCAGTAACACTTACTAAATTAATTGCAAGTTCTGGTCAGGCAAATTCACTTCACAGGCGGAAATTGAAAAGAATCGGTAGTTGGCCTATTGCGATGGTAAGTTCATCCACACTCTGCAATAATTTAAAGTATTTTACATACTTCTGTAATTAAGTACCAAGTCAGTGATATTAGCGTTTAGAAGTTGCTTTCATCAAGTATAAATACTCATTTAAAAGGAGGTTCTTTTTGATAAGATGTACACGTTCACAGTACATGTATTCTTCAAAATTAAGAACGAGCAATATATGTAAAGTTATAGATTTAATGCTTTCATAAGATGCTTGTTAAGCATTCAATAGCATTGTGGAAGTGTTAATATTTATGATGTTAACTAAAAAATTTATATTATTCATCATCTCTTAAATCTAAAATATGTGCTTTAAGCAAGTAAAAACGCTGACTGCCTTCACAACAATTATTAAAAGCCCTTTCTTGATATACAATTTTAAAAGTAGCATAGAATTCAAATAAGAAATTACTTGTAGGTTATATACTTGAGCTAATTTGTATTAGCCTTTTAAATATATTCGTGGTATTGTACTTAAAGCGTGTGTGAAGTTAAATGTAGTAATAAATAATAACATACTAAAAAACATCTAGCACTATAATTAAGATGTTAGTATATTTTTAATACCTAGCTTGCATTTAAAATTAACAAAATATTAGAATGAAACAATAGCTGAAGAAGGAATACAACCGCTAAAGCAGTTTGTTAAGGCTTCAGAAGGAGTACTAGATAAGGTAAAATAATTTAATCATTATCTTCGGTAAAGAGTGCTTATCTTACATAAATATAGTCAATGATGGATTAATTACGTAAACTATCTATAATCGATTACATCGATTTCGCTATTAATAGTATTTATTCTATTACAGGATATTAGTGCAGGTGGCGAAACTTCTGTCGCTGATAAGAGGCTTAAAAGTAAAAATGCTGATATTTCCAATTTACATACCGATTCAGCAATTAAGTCCATTAAGGAAGAAATGAATACTATAAAACAGGTAAATTTCCAAGAAATAACTTTCAATATTTTGACAAGTTAATACCAAAGTCAGTCATTTACTGATAATTAATCTCACGATACTTTGTTAGAAATATAAATAAGCATAAAGTATGTTACAATTGTACAGTTGTTGTTAAGTTGGTGTATTTAAGCCTCTATCATCCTATCATAAGAAACTAGAAAAAATGCCAGAAGAATCATCAATCTCAGGCACTGTTGACACTAATCTGGTACTATACTTTAATTGCTCTACACACATTTATACAGCTACAAGATATTTCACGATCTATAATAATTAATGCTAATGAATTTAACACGAAAATTACATAAGTAAAATTTTTTTGTTGAATTAATTAACCAACTATAATTCTACATAATATTATGATCAGTTTCAAATCCACCAAGAAGCAACTTCTGATCAGTTTTCCGATTCAATTGTTAATATGAAGTAAGACATTATAAAAAAAAATGATTGCTTATAACAAAGCAGCTTCTCTTCTTAACTTTTAAAAATAATATAATAAATCTGAAAGGAGCCAAGTTGAAAAATGCTTATCTGAAATCAAGAATATAAGAGAAAAAGTCAAGTCTGTACAAATGATCTTACTTTTGATCATGGCTTGTATTATATTTTGTTAAAATTACTATAAGATACCATACGACCATTGTTTCTTTTTAATATTTCTGAAATTATATTATCAAGCCATTATACTATAGTTAATAATGAATTTAAAGTATATTGTTCTTTTCATTTTTTAGTTTGATTAATAAGTCCAGCGATCAAACTCAAGAAGCTCCTAAAGATGTTAGTTGAGTAACATAGGGCTTAAGGAAATTATTTCTGAAAATTTAGGCATAAAGAATTAGCACTCATGTTCGATTTTTACGTTATTATTAAATAGGTTAAAGTTGGGCATGAACATGCCGATACAAATATACCGGTACATGTGTTAAATACCTCCAAACCTATAAATCAAGTTATTGTTGACAGATTAACAAGGTTGGTAGAATGCTCATTTATTATGTTTGAAATGTATATTTATTACTAACATAATAAACAATTTACTGTTTGCTAGCGAGCGCGACGAAGCATTGCAAACAGCTGTTCGATATCGCAAAATTGTTGATGAAATGTGCCATAAAGAAGTAGCAATGTATAAACAAATCAAGAACTGTGTAGAAACGATGGAAACAATGCAAATGGAGAAGAAAGAGGTAATGCATTATCAAATCTTGCTGCATATAGCGAAATAATAAAAGATAATTACTCAGTTTATATCGCTTGAGTGCTATAATGTACCAAATAAATCTTTATGATTTGTTTTTGTATATATAAATCATCTTGTACTTAGCTGACAGACTTTATATAAGATAAATTTTTATTAAATTAGAAGATTAATAACAAGTTGAAATACTTAAAGCTACGTTGTTAAAATTTTTGAATATTTGATCTCACCATTTTATCTCAATTTCCATTATGATATCTCGTATTATACTATAATCCTCTAAATGTAGTAAATGTACTAACCCTAACCAAAGCATTAATTATAAATCCTTGATATACTTCATTAGACCGAATTTGAAGTTATGCATGCAAAAGAAGAAATTGCAAGGCAACAGGAAAAGTATAGCCGTTTGTTAGAGACAATATCGGAAAGATGTATGAAAGAACGTCAAAACGCAAATGCAGACTGTCAAGTTGAAATACAAGGACTACAACAGCAGGTATCAATATTAAAACTTACATAGCATGATCGTGTAGCAAATTAGAGTAACGATACCTTTTTAATGCCATAATAATATTTTAGAGCATATAATATATATACTACATAGTCCCATATAGAAATAGCTTTTAAATATCAGTTCTATGTTTGATAGATTAAAAGTATGGAAGATATTGAAATCACGTTACGAAATCAAATAGATCGACAAACAAGAGAGAAGGTTCGATCAGATTTAAATACTTAAAATGTAAATACTGTATCTTATATCTAAACTTATTTTACCTGTAAAATTTCAATCATCAAATAGACCCAACTGTTAATAGATTTAGAACAAGTGCGAAGCCAGTTAATGGCAAAAGATGTTGATTCCAATCAGCTCTTAGATAAAGTAAACTCCGAGGTATCACTTGCCAATATAGAGCGCAACAATGCCCTCGATGAAGCCGCATCGTTAAGACTAAAATTAACCCAAGAGCGCAAAGAAAGAGAAAGAAACGATATGAAACTAAAATCAGAAACTGAAGGTTTACAGCGTCGTTTAAGGACAATTGAAACTGAGCTAATGGCAAGTAAAGATAATTCACTACAACTAACCCAGCAAATAACTAAACTTGAACAACAGGTAAAACTAATATACTATCATGATTATCGCCACTTCTACAATGACGTTAATCATTTTTTTTTATCATCATTACCATCAATATCTCCATCATGTTTGTTAATATCGCCATCATTTCTTATGATCTTGTTATTTACAGTATAGCTTAATCATAATCAGTATCACTATCGTCATCAATGTCTTTGTCATTATAAGCTAAAACTGTATGAAAGTAGAGTGTTTATTCGGTTAGCTGTCTGACCGTGGTCTATCTTCCTTCGTTAATAATCGCGTGCATACTACATACGGTTAGAATATGTGCAATTCAATAGCATTAGATACAGATTATTTTAATTTTACCCACAAAGCACAATAAGATACACGTGTAATACTTTAAATATGAATCATCTTTTGAATTGGCTTTACTTTACAATGTAAAAAAATTCAATTATAGGCGTAGCTTATATCTATCATGCTATATAGACATTGTTGAGTTATTAACTTATAGCACCGGTATTTTTACTTATATTATAGTATCACAGTAACTTTTTCATTTAATATACGGTATAGTCTATTCAAATTTCCACCGATAAAGATTCACGAGAACGAGGTTATGTTGAAGAAATCAATAAACTGCAGTCGTGGTTGAGGAAGCAAGAAGCAGATTACATGACTGCAGCAAGAAAAACTGAGATAGAATATCAACAGTCTAAGCAAGAATTGCAAAATATTCTAGATGGACAAATTCATGTCTGCAATCAGTGGAAAGATTCATCAAATCAGCTAGCAGAACAGTTGCAGGAAATCACGGATAAATACGGGTATGATTGGTAAAATTTCTACCTTATTTGTTTATGCATTTGTGGCAAAATAATGCTATGGCATTCGAATTCTAGCAAAAAACTGGAAGTAAATATTTTCTAATCAATACAGGATATGTTATACATTGTATTGCATGGTTAACTTACTGTATTTTATAGTTACGCATTTCATAGCTAAGTCTGCACATACTATTTGAATTCTTAATTAATATAGACACATGAAAAATCAAAGTCAAACTCTTGAACGTGAATTACAAGAAAAATTACATTATGCAAATAAGACTATTCAAGACTTGGGAGATTATTCTAATCAGCAGGATAAATTAATAAGTTCACTAAGGGAAAGACTTGAAGAGGAAGAAAACAGTAATCAAAAGTCAGCAAATCAGGTAGACAATTAGCTAATGTTTAGTGTCTTACTACTATCTATGACTATCATATAAAGCTATTTTGCCGTTTGTTAAATAATAAAATACAGATGTAGCTAGTTTAGTGATAAACAGATTGCCCTCTGTTAACGAATGAATAAGTCTGTTCATAATTTTGTATACTCTACTTTATGTAACTATACAATATACGATTATATGATCGCAAGTAGTAGATCGAAGGAATAAATTAACGCGTAGTATTATTAAAAAGTTTAATTAAGTCGATGTTGGATCATCCGAAAACATTAGCAGACGCCATTTACTGTACAACGTGCTTTTATCAATTATTGTTATTATTTTCTTTCAATTCTAGAACTTCGAACTACTAACCAAACAAAGTAGTTTATTACGGGATAGGCAATTACTAACGGAAGAAATAGAATATTTAAAATTACAATTAGCTGCAATACCCGCCGCTATCCCTAAATGGGAAACTACAAATAACGCTAGTATGATATCAGGAAAGGAGTAAAAAACCGTAGCTTATTACTTTCATAATTATACACTGTACCCCGAATTGAGAAAAATTTTCATATTTTCTGTCGTTTCTGAGCTAATTCTATACAAATTTGTAAAGAAATAGCTGATAAAGTATAGTAAATATTTGTTCCGTGGTACAGTGTAATGATTAATTATAGGTAAAGAATTAACTTATCCTAAAGTTACTATATCATTGATCATACTCATGGAACTTTGACATGTTATCATTTAGTCAATATAACAATACCAATTGATAAATGAAATGAAGAGTAAAGATTGTCCATGTGTAATAAGATTCTATATTTATTGATCTTAATCTATGTAATGTTTAGTTTTTTATTATAATAATATTCAAGGCTCGGACGAACCCGAGTTAACATGGCAGTAAAATAGAAGACGGTTAATTTTAAACAAGCATCCTAATATTGTAAATAAAGATGATTTATGGTTAGACCTGAAAGCGTTTGCAATATCTAAAATGTATGTATCCTAGTGTATTTTGTTGCCGTTGCACTGCAGGATGCAGTAGGAGTATTTTTTATTACTTATTGTACTGTATAAATGCTTTTATACTTTCTGGAGCGCATCATTGACGTTGTCAAGAATTCATTGAATTATTATTGTTTACGACTGTTGTACTTGTATAACATAGACTTTGTCTTGTTTATTATTAAAATGAGAAAGACTAATTTATTAGCAGGTTAAATTCCATTTCTGTGCTATCCAATTTATTAGTGTCTAATATATATTATCTGCAGCGATGGGTTTATATTAAGAATGTTCATTCTTAGTCAAGGATAGGACTATAGATTAGACCCATCATTCCTGCTGTGACATTGATTGGAAAGTTAGTGATAGGTCTTGGCATAAATCTATATATTACATACCCAATTAATGTATTATTTTAATAAGTTAGGTAGTATTTGCAATAACTCTGTAAATTCTAGAAATAGCTTGTATAGTCTAGTGTAGTGTGATCTTCCAATATTTGCCCCTGCAGCTTATAATACTGCATATAAGCTACTCTAACTTACAGTAAGTGTTTGCTATAGTAATTAGATCTGTCAAAGGTTATGATCGATTCTGTGATAAAGGATAGGACTGTAGACTAGACCTATCCTTCCTCCTGTGACATTAATAGCAAAGGCTAGTGATAGGCCTTGGCATAAATCTTTCATTAATAATTAATAAATATATTATTTTAAAAAGTTAGGCAGTACTTGCAACAACCTATATACAGTAGACCGCACATAAATTACTACAACTGACCGTGTTACAATAGTAATTAGAGATGTCAAAGGTTCAGTTTAAACCGATCCATAGTGATTAATTCTATGGAAGAGGGCGAATTGAACGATATAAGACCAGATGTAAAAGTAGTGGTACTAAAATAATATTGCAGATATTCGCCATTCTGCCTAGTTAATCCTGTATGGGTTTAATGTGTAACTTGACTGACAAGGTCTGCTGTTCAAGTCACTAAATTGCTTTAGTATAAGAGCGATTCATCCCATTCCATTCATTTCGTTACGATTAAAAAATTGCGATTTTAATCGCTATCATGCAGATATTCAAGATAAAAGTTATATCATTCGAAGCAGTATTTCCCACTGTATTTGATAGTATTAATAAAAGTAATCATTTCGTAACGATTTATGCATTATTTCGGCCATTTGTCCAACAGCGCTGTGGCACCACCGGAGTAGCCGGTGAAACAAGGACGTCCATCACAAGACGAGATTTGATTGGCTGAAGCAAATTATGGCGGGAACCTCCACTTTAAAGGAGGAGTAGACAGTACCCATCCCGAGCATAATGTACTAATAATTACTATAGCGCTCTGGCCTGTGTACCGTATAGTACCGTCTAGTTCATTCTCAGATACCGCAGCGAGCAAGATGGTTCCACCGGCTGACCAAACGATGGCCAAGGAAACTGTGCTAGCAACCAAATTAGTTGCTGAATTTGAGAGCTTTGGCGTTATTATAGACGATCTAGGAATCATTGATAATTGTAAGATATATTATTGCTGTAGCTGTCTTAATTAGCTGTACTTATTGTCATTTAATTTGATAAATAAAATATAACTAAGAGCCATCTTGATCGTGGAGTAGGCTAAGGGCAAAAACTTGTACATGTACTTTCATAAAATAAAATCATCTATGCGGAAATAGTACAGTAAAGAAGATAGAAAGCTCTTTTTCTACTATCGAGATAAAGATATTGTACGGAAAATAAAGAAGAAGTGTTATACGGTATTCTTAGTGTCGTAGATTTCAATAGGAATGGATAGATCACAAAATAAACTATACTAGTTAGGCTATGACCTCGAACAATTCGAGTATGGATGTACTTCCATTTTAAGCGTACATACCTAAAATCCCAGATCTCCTATATTATGAAGATGATAACACCTTAATAAGATATATGTCTCTCCTGTAATTGACCTTGCAAACTGTAAGAGTGCATTCAAAAATCAGTTCTACTACCTCATGATGCTCTTATGTTTAAGATTGGTTGATATCAACTTCATAGGTATGCTGCATATACCACTCCGTACGTTTAGGGTAATTTGCCTTACCAAGTAGCTTACATCTCTTGTGTGATGGGGATAATAATATGTTAAAAGATAGGTTAACTTTTGCAATTTACCTTACAAACTGTAGTACTGTATTCAAAATCAGTTTCCGCTGCGCCTCGAGTCTCTACGTTTAAGATTTATCGATATCAACTTCAAACTTTCCGAATATCAATAGCGATATGGACGTACAGTGTGGGACACATGAAGGCTTATTTACTTTTTTAAGTAACTAATATCTATTTCTGATACGATATTACATAAAGCTATATAATAACATCATCTATCGTTAAAATTGCGCACTAGTTTCATTCAATGATCAAGTAATTAATATCCAACGATAAGAGACAATACAATTTAATAGTAAGCATATAGTATACCAAGTACTTTTACGAGACCACCCAGGCATCAAGTTTTGATGCATGCTCCACACTGCCTTACTTGTTAAATCTTTCAACGCTATCTTTCATCAGTGCGAGCCATGTGCAAATTATATAGTTTGGACGAATCTACTATGGTTGACGAGTGGATGGCATTTGCATGTTCATCAGGAAATGATATTGAAATTACTCACTCAGCTTTGGAATCCTTCGAGAAGGAGGTAATATCTGCTTGTTATTTATAATGTTCATATTGACAGATTTTTAAAAGTTACTTCTTAAAATTATTTTATATTCCCAATAAAATTCTATCTTTCCTTTCTACTATTTCGGAAATAGTTACAAGAGAAAAATTCTAAAACTAAACAGACACTGATACGCAGAACTGCTGATGATGATACCGTCTATAATAAGGACTGCATTGATCAACTGTAAATATCACAGTGTTATATATATATACGTATGTCATTATTTGCAGCTTTCAGCTTATAGATTAAGCATTCTTGCATCTAGACTCGATCGGGAAGAACATAGCTTAATTGATGCTTATTGCACACCAGAAATGAAAGCGGTGAGTTTACAATCGTCTCGATCCTTACCTTTTTGTGGAGAATTTTTGAATGAAATGCTTGTCCTGTAATAAAATTGAAACTTCTTGACGTTATCTCCTGTGATATTAATCCTATAGAGTAAGCGATTACTAAAAACTCCAGAAAGTGATAGTAGAAAGCTAATAAAAACCCCTTACAAAAGAACTCCAGCAAGTCAAATCTTTTCGCCTAATAGTTATTCTCCAAATATGTAAGTTATATCGCAGAAATAAATACCTTAGAATACATAAAAAGTGCAGTATTACAAAATAGATGACTTATAGCATTGATACAATCATTTCTTTTAATCGCGTATCTTTCTTAGGTATTCATCGCGTGGCAATGCTGGTGAGATTTTAGCAACATTAAACATGTGCGGAATTAATGATGAAACTATCAACTGGAAAGGACATGGGATAAAGACTAATGTAACTGCTGCAGATCCAGATCAATGTTTAGATGAAGGCTACAGATACATGTTTCAAAAAATATCAGAACGTATTGAAGGTAGATAATATTCCGTTCTTCAAAAAAGAGATAACGATGCAGTATTATAACAAACCGTAATCAAAATACTCTCCTTACTTCGTTTTGTAATTACCTGTAAATTATTGATAGAACCACTTTTAATTTAAAAAAGGTTAACGCAAAGTAATCCTCATTTTTATGAAATCTAAGAAGATCAAATACAGATTAAAATTCTGTAGTCACTGAAATATTGACATGAGACGCATTTAAATTATCGAATTTTGTTTTATATTTTTTTTACCGATAAATATTTCCCTTTGTCAAAAGAAATTATTATATCTGACTTATTAACGTAACAAGCTACAGAGACATGCTATTGTAAACAACTGATTTAATTATGCCATGTGTAATTTTATCGCAACCCTTAGTTACTCACTGAATGATAGTACTATGTGCTTGCATGTAAATAGATGACTTAATATCCGTAAAATTGCCTTGACTGTTCTGCATCCTCATACTTTAATACGGTATTACTTCCTAATAGCATTACGCCATCAAGTAAGTCTTGTCGCAGAGCCTCTCCAGGAACAGCACGGAATTCAAGAATTAGGTTATGTCGACGTGCCTTCTCAGGTTAATGAAACTCGGATAAGATAAATAACCTGCTGTTGTATGTTCATTAATAAACCTTTAAAATTTTACTGGTACTAATTGACTGTTGGAATGTCGTTTGGTGTCAGGTAGTCTATATTTTCTAACTTAAGTTTTTGTTAGGATGGAACAACGGTAATTGGCCGCATTGGTTGTGATAGCAATGGGCGTTTAAATGCCGCATCTTTAGTTATTGCTGGCTATAACCCTAATCGAGTTTGTAGATCTGCGACTCCACTAAATGTAAAGGAGCTATCTCATTTTTCCTTTTTTCCTGGTCAAGTAATGAGCGCACAATAATACTTTAATATTATTTAAATAAAATGCAGAATTGAGACTGCTAGCATTTTTTGCGTGCTATTATCTTATATGTTCCTTATTATGCCGATATCAAGGTTGTTGTCTTAGATGGTAAAAATCCAAGTGGCAATGCTTTTATCGCTAGCAAACTGTATCAGGTATGGCATATTGCAAGCTATTTGATGATTGTATACGAGAATTTCTGAAATATCTTCAACGCGATCATTCTAGGGTATTGCTCTTCCATTTAACAAGATACCGTTGGAAAAAGCAAAGAGTTATTACCCTAGTGATGGTATTGCACAATTATGGTCTAACAATTTCTTAACTCATGTTCTTGCGAATAAAACTGATAAGAAATTTTTCGCCATATAGACTCTCCCATGAATATTTTAGTTGCATGTGGACCATTCACTACAGCCGATAACCTACTCTACGAACCGCTGTCTGATTTATTGAAAGTCATTTTAAACCAGCAGCCCGATATTGCAATTTTGGTATTACCCTAATATAATTTAGATTTACAGATATCATATAACTAGTCATGTATATATTATTTAAACCGCTTTAATATATTCTAATTGCATATCTGTTATATCGATAGTGCGGTCCCTTTGTTGATGCTAAGCAGGAGTTAATTAAGGTCTGTAATTTTAAAGAGATAAATAGTTATTTTTATAATGATAAGTATTGGTCATTTAAATAAATAATTTCGTGAATTATCAACTTTTAGCAAGGAGAAATCAATATTAGCTATGAAGACTTATTTATAAAACGGCTGAGCGAAATCATTGAAAACGTTGGAAGGTTGTAACGAAATTCCTCACTTGATGTTGCATGGATACTAATTAGACCAGCTAATAATTGATTATAATCGTATGATTGTTTTTCTTAAAATTATAGAATCTCTACATCTGTAGTGTTTGTCCCTTCGACGAGGGATGTTCATCATGACTTTATCTACCCGCAACCACCTTTTACGCTGCCATCTAGCCTAAAGACTGCACCGGTATGCTGTGCTGTATAATATTGTTCTTACAGGCTTGCCTATAATTATAATTAATCAGCCCCTGCGAAGCGTAAGACATTTATTAAAATTATAGACTTTGTGTTTGTTCCGCAGGAAATTCATTTTGTGTCTGATCCTTGTACACTAATCGTTAATGATGTTACAATCGGACTCACTTCGACAGACATACTCTTTCATATGGGAGCGGAAGAGACTGCTAGGTGCACAAATAGTAGCGATTACGTTAGCTGTATGAAACACTCTAATTTTTCACTATTTGAATATGTGTGTTTGATATAAATTATATTTTGATCCTAGTCCACCGGGAATGTCTGATAGAATTGGAAGGTTACTGAAGCATTTAATCCATCAAAGAAAGTAAGCTATTGAAATTCTACTCGATGAGATTTGAAATCAATTGCATCCATTAACACAAAGCTGTTTCTCTACATCTATGGTTGATATGTAAAAAGCTACTATCCGCTGTATCCCCCCTCAGAAGAGGTCAATTTCGATCGCGAAAATTTTGTTAACTTTGGCTTTATGCCTGTGACTCCAGATATTTTAATTGTTCCTTCGGATCTTCGTTATTTCGTGAAGGTATTCGTACTTAGAAGTTGTAGATTTACGCTATACTCAGTAAGATATTTACATCTTTATGACTGAGAATTCCAATGAATTGTAGGATCACGAGAGTACTTCCTTTAGACTATAATTTACGCTGCTTCAGCTAAACTATTTATAACGATACATCATGCCTACTTAGCATTTGGTAACTTTACTTGCCACTACGAATATTGTATGACTAGAGATTAGTTAATGTAGACGTTTTTTATTATCGTCAGGACGTGGAGAAATGTTGTTGTGTCAATCCTGGTCGCTTAGCTAAAGGTCAAGTTGGCGGTTCATATGCACGTATCGCAGTCCTGCCACCCAAAGTAGCAAATCAGCCGGTCATTGATCGTATAGTCTCTCAGGTGGTTCGCATTTGAATTACATCTGCAGATTAGGCTTTATGTATATCTGTAGCCCACATTCAGAGTATTTCTTTTATATCAAGCTAATGTCCTGAATGACATCGTTTTACGTATCATGCGTTTGAAATTTGATTATTTCCGATGTTGACAACCTTTTTTCGATAATATACAAATTACGGTATATGATAGATGCATGATGAGGTTTTTTGAGTAGCAATGTGTGAAACTGATAATTTCTGGCAACTGCCTGTGCTGTAATTGAATTTGATATGATAAATGTAAAAATTATCATTTATCTGCTGATTTCTATCACAACATCATGTATGATAATGTCTATATAAGAGTAAATACTAGTTCAGATATTAGTTGAAGTTATAATTAGCGTAGATTGACCTTGGCAACTTTTTATATATATTGAACGTAGAATTTGTAGTAATATCATTTTTTATTGGTAACCTGCATTAATGACTGAAAAATAATAACATATCGTATTAATAAATTCAACGAATTTAACTAAAATATTTAAGCATCTTGGTCGCTAATTTTAATTTACATTTATAGTTTGCATGTTATACTTAAAACTGGTACAATTACAATCGATCATGGAATCGTTATTTTGCTATACTGGATTAATCTCAGAAGATGACCAGCTACAAATCCCTCTTATAATTAGCGACGCAACCTATATATCTATACTTAAGTACGGGATAGTAATGACTGTGTACACAGCCACAGCAAATTAGGCTTAAAGTCCTATTAAATAGAGTGGAATCGCATTTCATCAAAGACAGGTTATATCTGTCTGTATGGATCCGTAATCTTAGCGAAAAGACCAATCCGTTTAATCTTCCTTATAACGGTTATCACTATCAACTTTGGCCTATTGATATGTTGATATCGATATAAGTGAACGAATTAGGAAATAAACAAAGTTGTCTTATTTTACTTGATAATTTATAATTATATGACCTAAAGGATTGAAAAAAAATTGATGAGTTCGTTTTCATCCGTCTTACCTGAAGTTTAGAATGTTCGCTCAACAGTCGATCATATTCACGATTAGTGCCTTCAGCTTGCTGCTTTAATGCTGCTAAATCTACCTTATTTTTCTCTAATTCTAACAATAACAATCAGGCAATAATACTTTACTTAGTCTACGTAGATAGACATTTTTAATTATTTATCATTGCATATCATTTGGTGCACTAATTCAATTTTACATTTCACAGTTTTATGTATCATTTACCCTGGCGTGTTTCTTCCAATTCATCTTGTAACGCCTTGAATTTTGATTCGGATACCTCTGAATTTGAAGAGGCGTCGGAAGATCCAAGTTTTTCCTATTGTAGTGTTATAGTTATAATTGTAATCACTATTAGCAATCAAGTGTTATCAATAGCACGGTTCATTCTACTGCTAAGAAAAGGGAGAGGTGCTTAGCAGGAAAATATACATCCAGTTGAGTAAATTACCGTTAATTCCTTGTTTTCATCTAGCAACATCCTACATTGTTTAGAAGCACTTTCCGCTTGCTTGATAGCCGCCTCCTTTGATGCTTCAACAACCGCAGCGGAAGACATTAGGCTGGTTATACGCCGTAAGAATCTACATTTTTTTAGAATCGGTCAGTTTCAAAATGGCAAATCCAATAAGAGAACAATTTTATATGAGGTATGTGATATCGGACTCCAATATATTAAGACGTCATAATCACGTACAATGCATGTTTTTATCAAATAAATGTCTAGTGCGAATATGCAATCGATTCCTTCTTTCGAAAGGATAGCGAATGATAAAAATTAATTAAAACTGTAATCAATTTGTTAAGTTATCATTAAAAATGAATCTGGAATTGTAGCTCGGTTACATACAAGAGGCAAAGTAAAGCAAATCCAGTGATGTAATAATTCCGTTGAGCTCGATGTAGTTTAATCTGTAGCATCAAATTGTCGTGAATTTTGTCCGAGCCTTGACCTCTTATTTTAGGATCCTTCATCATTTCTCTGATAGAGTCTGTTGACGAAAAAGAGATTGATAAATACCAGCATCATACGTATATGTCAGCGGATACAAAAAGTTATATTGCAAGTTAGATTAAAATAGAAAGTTATCTAAATCGCAAAGAGAATACAGCGGTTTGTCGATATTACGCTAGTAGAGCTGTATGCTAATACTCGTACATAAAATAACAACGTATCGTGCCGTTGGTAAATATTCTATCACAAGTCTTAGTAAAGATAAACATTGAACAACCTTTATGCACAACTTACAGAATGCGACATTAATCGATTACTTATGCCTAAAGGTAAAAAAGTGTCAATGATTTATGCAGTCTGATACGGTGGAACCTACCTAATAACAAGATGATTAGAAACGCAACACATATGACGAAGAGCTGGTTGCCATAACTTCTGATATAAGTAATTATTCTCGATCGTAAAATCTTGTGCCAACTAAATGAAGAAATACGCATAAAAGAGAGATTAGAATAATGATTGCAAGCACAGAGGCGTATTATTATACCTCTATGATTGATTGGAACATTGTCCTTCTATTGTAGCAATTAAATTCAAACAGAATCATCACTCTTTTTATCGAATAAATTATTGTACTGTGTCATTGAATAGTCAAGACGAGATGTTATGGATTCATGATTGTGAGTAAAGAAGGAGTTTCTATGCCTCTATCATTGAAATAAGATCATTCTATTCCATTGGTGTACCGTATACATATATCTTATTTCAATCATATTATCATTCTTTATCGAATAATCAATTGATTGTACTGGGCAATATGCAGTCTAATGAAGACAAGATTCGGTTCACGATTGTAACTATAAAGGCGTTTGGTGATTGAACTATAGTAGGAGAATCGTATAATTATTCTACTCCATTACTGTACAAAACATCATGTATTGAATGATCCAGTCTAATCGACAATTTTATCCATCTTGTATACAGTTTATTATGCCTCTGCCATTAAAATATGGTGATTCTACTCCATTCCTGTCGATAACTAATTTCAACAGTAGGATCACACTCTTCATCGCATAATGTATTGCAGTCTTGGACATTTCCATCCACAAAAATGTATACGGAGAACAATTTTGGATGTTTTTGTCACGATCATTAAAATAGGATAACTCCATTACTGTAGTGTCGATATTGGATTTCAACTGGAAGGTCACTCTATATCGTATAATCTATTGCAGTTATGGGCATTTCCATCCATAATGTAGAGTAAACGGAGGAGAATTTTAGATGCTTTTGTCACGATCATTAAAATAGGATGACACTATTACTGCACTGTCGATATTTGATTTCAACTGGAAGGTCACTGTTTATTGCATAATCTATTGTAGTTATGGACATTTCCATCTATCTGGCAGAGGATAAGTTTTGATGTCTGTATACTGTCATTAAAATAGGATGACTCCATAACCGTACTGTCGATATCTGATTTTAAACTCGTTCTTCATTCAATAATTAATCTACTGCACACTATGTCCAGTCTGATCGACAATTTCATCCATCTTGTCTACGGAGGATAATTTTGGACGCCTCCGCCACTGTTATTAAAATAGGATGACTCCATGACTATAATGTCGATATCTGATTTCAAGTGTAGGGTCACTGTTGATCGAATAAGCTATTGGCCAGTATGTCCAGTTTGATCGATCATTCCATCCATCTTGTCGACGGAGGAGAATTTGTGAGACCTGTGGCAGTGTCGGTAAAATAGGATTTGACCTCCATGACTGTACTGTCGATATCTGATTTCAACTGTAGTAATCCTCTTTGTTGAATAATGCACATTGCTCAACAATTCAATCTCTGAATCTTGTATACAGAAATGACAACGTTGTGCTTGATGTAATGACATCATCATGCTCAATTACTCATCCTTACCGGCTATAGGAGATAAATGGAAGACATAATATTAGTAGTACAAAGATTTCGGTATATAATACACCAGCAGCAATATTCCACTGCAAGCCCATGGTTAATTAAATACTTTTACGGATATAATCCCAATTTGAGAATCCAAATGGTGGAATGGATCGCGATAGAAAGAATATTTGGTCGATAACGTAGTCAGACGAGTTGGCGATGACGCATTGAGAAGTCAATGATCGAAGCGGTGTCGATCGCTATGACGTTGGAAGAAAAAATGACGCTCTTGCAGTACGACTCAACACAGTCAGTTCGACCCGTATCGGTTGACGATGAATCATCTCATCAGTACTGTATGATGACGTACACCAAAGGTCTGGTGTGTCACAGTCTCACAGATGATGCACTCGTGCTGCTGGTAGTACAGTGTACACGTAAGTTACACTCGTATACAGTATACTGTACACTGTACCGTACTGTATTGTAGAGTAGTCAATTCATGGTCCGTGATACAGTAGTAGTCATAGTGTCAGTATAGTAGTCTAGTCATAATTTCACTGGCAGCAGTGCTGTACTGTACAGTGTACAGTACAGCAGCATGACTGGATCGCTCATTGATCACAGTACAGACAGTACTGGCTCTGCCACAGTACAACGTACTGTACACTGTACACTGTACTGTACTGTATGGGACTGTGGATCCTTTCAGCCTTGCTCTGCAAACAGCCAAGTTGGTTTCAGTTTCTTCGAAGTGGAAACTAAAGCTGATGCGCAAAATACATGACGCTCGAACCCTCGTCACCAGCCCATCAATACTCTAGAGAGGGAAAATATTGCATCAACATCGATTGCGCTATAGGACGACTACCAATGGATGAGTATTCCACTTCAGAATGTATATAGTCATCACGTAATCTAAAATAAATAGGGTAGACTCGTATTTTAGACGTACAGTGCATGTGCAATCCTCGGCGTTTTGAACAAATTGCAAGGCTGCCTTGGAAATTATGATGAGTATTCCACTTCGGACAGTACCGTATACTGTACTGTATAGTCATCACGTAATATACAACCTATGTAACTTGGCTCTATGTGGCTGAATTTATTCGAAAATTTCCAAATAATTCCGTAACATTAGCATACAGTATAAAATACGATAGATTCGTATCTTAGACGTACAGTACATGAATCCTCGGCGTTTTGAACAAATTGCAAAGCTGCCTTGGAAATTATGATGAGTATTCCACTTCGGACAAATTGCAAGGCTGTGAGGTCTATTATACATACTCGGACGTACAGCACTACTGGATATTAGCCGACTCGTAGTTGATCCAAAATATTTCCTATGCCTTTGAACAAGGGCTACAAGAGAGATGATTGGAATGGAAAGTTCTACAAATGTCTAGGCTGACTAGTTTGCTGGCCATTTCAACTCTATTGTACGTAACTATTGTGATCGGCAATCGAAAAGATGGGAGATCATTAAAAATGACTTTGCCCGTTTGCCTTGCTTACATACTGTCCGTATACTGGGTGTCCTTAATTTATAAGTGCAGTCTTTTCACCTTATATTCAGACCTCCATTTTTTAAATTACGACATGTTCTGTGTGCCGAGTAGATAATAATTAATCTATAGTAAACTCACCGATCATCGGTCTTATTGTATTAGAACTAACGCACGTTGTAAAAATGGATGTTATTTGGCAGCATACTTGGATAGACTTTCTACCATATTTGCTAAGTAGAATAAGGCAGTGTCTAACAAGTATTCCAAGTTGGAAGAATAGGCCTACATTAGCAATTTATTATACCTTATCATCAACATTGCTACTTCTAATGATCAAAAGTAAATACAAGTCTACCTATTCTATATTTTTCTACCGCCAAATCATGTCAACACCATCGATGGCCATTTTTACTCTAAATAGATAGTATGCATGAGAGACAAGTAGTTGCACATTTAAAACAATGTCTTGAATTGAGTCTGCCGCGTGTGTATAGCTCCTTCTATTAAAATTAACAAATATACGATACTTTATCAAGTCTTTTCTACCCATGTATTGTTATTTATTCAGTTTACAACGTAATAAAGTAAACTTAACAAACAATTAGTTTCCAGAGTTCTTCAATGTCGGAACCAATTAATATCAACAATAAAATTTCGAATTGGCGAATAGATGTTGTTTGAACAGGTCATCAAAAGGCGTAAAAATACAACAACTATCACAGCAACTATATTGCTATCTTATTTATTTTTATCCGTTTCGTATTTGTATCGGTAAAGCATCTTAACAAGTTTCGTTGATGAAGAGATCTAGCAACAGATGTCTAGTAGTTATCATGCACATATCATATTACGGCAATAATCTTAATGAAACGATGACCATTGTATATCACTAAATCATCAGCAATGAAGCTATAGCTATGACTGCTTCCATGACAATAAACTTATATAATCACTGACTACTACCTTGCTATCTTAATAAAATAATCAATTATGATTGCAATATTAAATATTGAACTGAAATGACTTTGTAACTCCTAATCGAAATGTATTAGATTTTACTATGTGAAATATCATAGCTTAGACTATAGCCTTAAAGAATGCTAGTTGAATTCGTGGAACAGTTCTGTGGTATTTTAAATAAATTAGTGCAGATACGAGTTAAGTAATAAAAAAGCGACATTTTACAAGCTACTCTCAGAGTAACTGTTGTGTGAGTCAATACGTAAAGAATTAGATACATAACAAAGTACCCATCAGATAGAGATCTATCTCCCATCTCATCATTATAATTATTAATCGAATTAGGTAGTTTCAAAGTTGTATATCGTCAAATAAGGCAATAAATATAAGCAAAGTACCAACAACCTTTTAAAATAAACTATAAGTAGAAGAGTAAATCGATGATACAGAAAAATACTTGTAGCCAAATAGGTTATAAGCGGAACATGTACAACGTTGTACTACTGATTCACAATAGCCTTAATATACTGTATACTGTACAGTATAATGATTTTGCGTAGTTGTTATACGAATTAGAATAAGCTAACTAGGCATGACTAGAACAAAATAATATCTCAAGCCAACATTGACGTCTAAATTAAGCCTTATTAAGCGCCATTCAACTGGAAGAGAATATGCACCTATAATTATAATAGTTTGCATTGCTTAATTTGGCGCAATAGTAACGTAGTCATAGTGACATTGACAGGCAGAGAAATACCACTTCCAAGTCTTGTTCAGAAAAGTATTCATGATTTATCAATACTATATTAAGTATCTAATATCTAACGATAACATACTCACCATTAACAAAAGTATCAGCATAGAAAAAATTTCATACAAGTAAGAAGTAAAAATGAGCCGGCATCCAACTTGCTATATAAGCCTAGCAAAATTTGATTCTAACTGGCAAAGAATAGATAACGTCGTTGTGGTAATTAATCGGATTGGCAAGTTATGAAACACTTAGGTATTAATAATAGTCAACACATAAGAAAAAATCTTATAATTTAAAAAAAGCTAATATCAAACTCTTAGTTGAGTCTTGGTAATCCTTACACTAGCGCCCTATATCACTATGTCCCACGGCAAGCGGTTGCATATAAAGCTATAGGTAACTTGCACAGCCATTTTCTAGCAATATCAAAACTTATTAGGCTAATTTCTGAGCCACGGTATCCTTGATCTAGGCAACTATGTATTCATAGAAACCCACAGCACTACTATAAATATTTAATCTATAAATTACAAGCACCTCGTACAACTTGAGAAAAAATATTATTTTGGATCAAGAAATTAAACTAAACGTATCCTTCGGCTTATTTAAGTTCTGATAGCCTTGACCTAGGTAAATAGAAACTGGACACTACTACTACTAACATTGGTTTTAACTAAAACTAGTACTGTACGTGTTCGTAGGGTAACTCTGTGCTGTGATTCTTTACGGTTTCAAATCAGGACATTGAACTTATAGTTTACCTAGACATCTCGATTTAATAGAGTATTTACTTCATTGATATAAAGTTATAAATAAAATGGTTTTGTTATTTTTACAGACAAAATATTAATACTAAGCCTAAAGTTTAGTCTAAATATCCCCTGATTAAAATGGAAATGGAAAATTTTTAACCTCTCTAATCTACATTGATTAATCTAAAATTATGGCGTGATTTGAGATGTGATCTTTTACGGTTGAAAGTTTTACTTCATGCAATAGTCTGTGCTTGATTTCTTTAGTTAGATAAATGAAAATGCGTATCATCACTAATATGCATGATTAGCTTAAAATGCATACTTAGCTTGTATAAGAATGCCTCGCGATTCAAAAACTACCAGGGATATCTCGATAATAAAATAAGAGAAACTACCACCAAATTTATCGCTCAGCTTTGGTATACGTAATTTAGATTATATACGCGTAAGCAGCACTACCATCGTACTTTATACGTATTCTGTAATCTAAATTATAGTATAGCTATGCAAAGCATTTTTTTACCGTTTCTAGAATTAGTACGATATCTAAATTTACAGTTTAGCCTTGGCCGCCATGATTTCCACAGCTGGATGTGATAGTGTCATTATACTACGTCGGTTAGTCTAAAATTACAGTCTAAAATCGCTTATGATAGCACTTACACTACTAGGTCAAGAGCTTAGTGCCTCTTAATTATTTGCTTTATAGTATTAAAAACTTTCAGAAGTACTAAATTTATCATACTGGATAGTACTTCAAAATAGCGTCCATCATGTAAGACATGACAATAATTTCTTTAGTGGAAAACGATCTTACTATCTAATAGCAACTGACAAATAATTGAATCATAGACATCTTGGAAGTATGAGAAACATGGGAAATTTCATTTAATTCCTATTAAAGGAAGTAAGTATTGTAAAGATTCAAAAGCAGCTTCCGATCTTCTTTATAAACAGTATAAATGGTGAACAATCACCATCATATTATCATAGTAAATTACCATCAAAACAAGAAAAATCTAAAGACAAAATTTGGGTATTATCATACAGTAAAGTAGATATTACATATTGCATAAATTGATTTTCAATAATGAAAGGAATATAATCATAGTGAACAATATTGGAATAATATAGCAAACATCCGACGAATTTATATATCAAGTATTATATTCTAACTGAATCGATGAGGATGAGCTTGATTAATACAATCTCTTTTGCTCCTACCGATGTATATTAATATAAACTAAAATTTACGTATCGCACTTATCAAAGTAATTTTATGTCACGATTGAATTATATTTGTATTCGAAGCTATTTTCCAATAACGAAGTAAAATGTAGAAAGCCACAATTTATGCCTACAGATTCCAAAGGCTAGCTTTTTACTATTGGAAATTTAAAGTCTAAATTAATACTAAGCTACGCTTTCAGTCGATATACCTATAAACAAATATTAACGACTGTTTTAAACGGAATGACATCTAGTTAAAGTCCAAAAGAAATTCAATTATAACCGATTCCTTTTTTCCCTTCTTCATCGTATTAATTTTAGTGCCAATAAATAATAATAAATTAGTCAAATAGTAGCCAACGGGGCTATTATCAAAGGTTTCGATACTAAAAGTAACATTAAATAAACATAGAAACGGCTAAAAATCAACGATTGTTGGACCTTTCACAATAGGGCCTAGTTAATGATTGAGCTACCTTAGAAATATTATGTACTATCGCACGATATAAGCATCAAAGTTAACAATTCTTTAACTAGACAAATTTCAATTTATTTACTGTGATGGAACAGTTCGTGATGAAAATAGATACAAAAAAATTGAGCGTATTACTTAGCGAAAACGTTTGGAGCTATTTTCAACCCATTTCACTGGAAATCAATCTAGTGTACGATAGTTTATTTTGGGGCATTTATTACCATAATGAAAGCTTGCCAAGCGGCGTAATAAAACTGTAATATATGTAGATTATAACGTAGGGATAAAGATGCACAGTATAGTATTTTCTATTATTTTATCATTCAATAGTCCAATTTCACGGTTAACAATAAAATCCGAACTTTAAAATCTTATCCTACTGTTATAGTCTTAACTTTCAGTTGCCTATTTTTTTTTTATCGCATTTACAATTGGCAGTATTACCATTATTATTTTTCTTTCCCTTGTCTTGATATTTTTGAAATTCTATTTGTGATTATTCAATCTTTATCAGTTTATCCCACCTACTGATACAAGATATTCTCCTTCTGTTTGGTAAATTTAGCGATAATTTTCTTTCTCTGTTAATTGGCGGTAGAAATTAGTTCGAACACGTTTTTCATCTGCCCTGTCTTTTTCGTTTCTCCATTGACCTTTTTCTAAATCAGCGCGTCTTTGATCATCTTCTTGTAATAACTCACTTAATGCACTAATATATCTCATGGCTAGACGTAACGTTGTCAACTTGGTTAATTTACCATCTTTGGGATAATAAGGTACAAGACGTCTTAATTCTTCAAAAGCTATATTCATTTTGGACATGCGACTTCGTTCTCGAGCATTGGCTTTTAATCGTCGATATTTTGTCATAGAATGTAATCGACCATTGGTAGGATGATGAGAAGGGTTAATGTCTCGATTTTCTTCATTGCCACCAATACAACTGTCGCTATTATTGTGATGCTGTGATTCATGATGGTTATTATTAGCACCAGCGCTATGAGTATACTGTGTTGTTGGTGGCTGATGTTGATGATGATGATGCTGATGATGATGATGAAGATGAGATCCTTCGTCTTGTTGTGATGATAGACGGTGTGGATGTTGTATGTGAGGATGATATAAAGAACTAATAGAATTATGTTGTTGGCGTTGATCTTGATTGATGTCTTCTTGAGAATCATGAAGAGGAAGTCCATTAATGCTACGTGGCCTTAAATTATAGCTTACGTTATCTTGATGTAGACTAGTAGAAACCATAGAAGTTGCTGGAGTCGTCACAATCATTCTTCCTGTTGCTGGGCTAGTGATATGATGATCAGTAACAGTAGAATGAGTTGTTGATATTTTGGTTACTCCAGCGATGGCTGTTGTTGTACTACCATCACTTCTTGTATAAGAGCTTTTATTTGATAAGTAGTGGTCTAAATTTCGATCTTGATCCACTTTGTCAACACTAGCTGATTTAGGATGGCGATGATGAAGAGTATTACTGTCTTTTATCCCATTGTCAACATGTTTAGCGGCATTTTTCTTTCCTTTAGATGAACTCTTTTCTATCGGTGGCATCATGGCGTAAATTAAAAATTACAACGATACCAGGATCTATTTCAATACTGTGATAGTAATAGCAAATGTTAATCAATAATTTGTATTATCTATGTATCTTGATAAAATTTTGAACAGAATGAGTCTTTATCCCTATATGAAATAGATTGAAAGAAGAGGAAATTATTTATCTACAATAAGGAAATTTATAGCCCTCTAAATTGACATCGTCTCGATCTACTTATAGCCGTAATGTAAAAATAATACAATTCTTTTTTTTATTTACTGCAAAATGATTAATTCAATATTCAATTCTATTTTCGACTTGATGATATAATCAATTCTGCATCAACTGGCCGATATATTGTGGCGTATTGAACAGATTTTAAATTGTTCTAGATAACGATCCTGATCTAAATATCAGTCCTTCATGGTATAGGGCGATAGACAGCTCGAAAGTGAGAATTGATTTACCTCTCTACAGCAACGTTTGTTGTCAACCTGTCGATAATCAATAGCTAACAGCGAATTTTTTCTTCCTCTTTCCACGATGGATAATAGTTACAGCACGAAGCTAGCGCTATCACTGCTTGAACTACCGATACAATTGGCAGTGAATTGATTGATCAATTTTTCTTCAAGCGGATCTTTTTTTTCTCTCCTTTTTTAATTTTCTTACTCTCCACTCTGACTCCGTCCAACGATTCCCTTTCTGTGTCTCAATTGCAATAAAGTGATTCCTTTTTAAACAACTTTTGTTCTACTGATGTTGATATTCTCATCATCAATTACGTGTAACTAATGAAGTAAATCAATAGAGTCATGCTAGTCATGCTTTTCCTATTCAAATAATAGACAGTAGAAGTAATCGATCGCTTGAGACAGCGTTCAATCAATACCTATTGGGATTTTTCTTTTTTTCTTTCTCTCAAATATCATCCATAATATTATCCATACGAGTATTGTTTCCAGTTCCAGTTAGCCACTCACTATCCAATCCATGCTATAATAAACAATTCAACTTGAAAATTAAACAGTAGTAAGTCAATGATTTGCGAACAAAAGTAAGGAATCATCTACATGCCATTTTAAACAAAGAGGAAGGAATATATTGTCAAATGACAATCAATCAATCTAGCCAAGTGGATTTGAAATGAGTATTGTTAACGTATTGATTTGATTGATCATTGATATTGGCAAGTGCTAGTTACGCAACCAACGATTCTTATAAGCTTGCAATAGTTCTCATTCGACAGCTTAACGACAGGCTTTCATACCATCCATCATTCTGTCACTAGCATAAAGACTTTGCATTCAAAAAGTATTGTATTTTCTTCTTTCTCTCAATCAAGGTTTAGGATTAGATGGAGAACGTAATGGAATTTGACAGATATTGTCTTTCTTGATCGACATGGAGAGGTAGAAAATTGTCAAAAGAAACAGATAAAAAAAAATTGGAAATCACCTCAATTTTCCCCTGATCTCTACAGCCCTTTTCTACTATGCCATAGTAAAGGATGATATCATCCTCGCCAAATTCCCTGAAGGCATTTTCCATCATATCCGTTCTCAACCTCAACAATACCATTAATAAAATTAATTTCATCTTTCTCTCTCGACAACTTAATAGAGTAAAAATGGATCGACTGAAAGAAAAATTAATTTTATTATCAATGATAGTTAATCATCCATTTTCAACGATACATGCATTGATTCTGTAATCAGAATGGAGAAAAGTAGCTTCTAAATTACGGATATGATGCATAATTCAATTTACGTTAATCTACGGTGTTATTTTTGGCATACTCTAATTGAGAGAAAAAGTATGCCATTCTATAGGAGTATATCGACTTAAAATAAGGCTTTGATTGATTGTTTCTTCCCCTTCTTTTAGCGAAGAATAATATCAACAGTCATAACGAAAAAGTTGATTTTTTTCCCACCCTGAATAATTTACAAGTCAACATTGAGATAGTTAAAGTTTGGCGTTTTCCTTCTTTTTTTAATATCAATTCCACGTAATCATCACTCCAATTCAAATTATACCGTAATCATCGTCGTGAGTTCAACTCACTAAAGGCCAATAAACATGTATGTCATCATTTTATTTTCATTCCTATTGCAACTGTTGCAACTTTCTTCAATATTTATATACCGTCGAATATTCGAAGGATAAAATTAGAATTGAATCAAGCAAGAAATGTCGACAACAGTATTTCATATAACACTCATGAAGAGTTACTATAGCACGGTATGCGTTTAAAAAGTAATTTTCCTTTTAATAATTTCAAAATATGGGAGAAAAAACGAGAAGAGCATAAGTTTGATTTTAATTGAATCATCTTGTCAATTGTTGATGCTCTTTCTGTCGTCATGGATGACATTGAAAATTCAATGATAGACACGCGCAACAGCGTAATGAAGATGGAGATAGCGAAAGAAAACGATTAAATGATTTATCCTATCGTCTGTCGTGGAAATTTTATTTTTCTTCTTTTAATTGTATATTGATATCATTGTTATTATTATTCTCGGTAGGTAGCCGTATCTTTGTCCTGATCGACGGCTGTTGTACTCCATGTTATTAGTAGGAGATTTACAGACAGTCGCTATGATTACGCATTGATATTATTTATAAACCTTGCAATTCTCTCAGGATCATTATCCTCTTTTCAAATTGATATCCACGCCAATAATTTCTCCATTCTCATCATAATCAAAGAGTTTAAATTACTCCTCGACATCATTAATCATATTGCAACAATAGTTTAGAAAGAAAGAAAGAAAAAATGAAAGTTGCTATGCGTAGCCCTTTTCATTCACCCATTCAAAACAAGCGTGATGGCCGTTGTATAGGCTATATAGCCACACGATTGTCTTGACTTTAGCAATCATACAATCTCTTCTTTTACGTAACATGTAAATTAATTTAATAAAAGGCGTCGATGCTATAATTATACATGCCGATAGCAAAATCAATCCAACTATACATGTCTATCTACCCAAACACAAACAAATTGCCCAAGGATAAACACCTATTGGTTTAGTCTACTTTGAAAGTGAATACAACTCTTCTGTAATCCATGACTATTGATTTGGAAATCAGTCCTATCAAAAATCAATAATTCAAATTGCTAAAAGGTCAAAGAACAAGTTGATTCATAAGTATTGAGAGCGAAATAACATCATTGATTTCAGTAGACAGCACATAAAATCACTCAACAAATCAATCTTCCACTAATAACTGGAAAGTGATTAACACAATTTTTTTTCAATGGTGACAAAATGCCTTGATTAACTTGATTATTAATTTCTTTGATTTTATTTTTAAATGGATCTAGGTAAGAAATCAATGAATAAACAATTGCTCTTAAATTATCTTCAATCTATTTTGTATAAGATCAGTGAAGATGGGGGAGGCTATGGCAATCTAGTCATTGCGATAGCGCTATTTAGACAAACAATACGACACTCTTAAAAAAACTGTCACTAAAATAGCTGTCAGAAACGATCAATTTTTTATTCTGTATATATTAATTAATAATCCTGTTAGATCTGTAATTTCTCTTAAATATCATTTTTTTTCAAGTCATTATAATGTCCTAAACAGAAGTAAAGAAATGAACGAAACACAAAGCACATCAGTAAACTGACTCTATTCGGAATTAGAAGTCGCCACCAATTTGATCCATTGCCCAGCATCACGTAAACCGTCTCTTTGTTGAACGCTTTTAACTTTCGACGACTTAAAGCATAGTCAATTGTCATTTGGCAAGACAGTATAATTAATGAATTGTTCAAAATTATAGAAAAGAAGTGGATTGATTGTTTTATGGCTAAGGACCGAATTTGTAATGCTATTAGCCATCACGGCCAATTTAAAATCACCTTGAGGTCATGACGATTTGCAAGAAAATTTACAAGACAATTTATCTTGTATCAATCAAACTTGATATCCACATCACTATCCCAGATTAGAATCCATTTTACAGTATATGGGAATAAATTTCCTAGTAAAATTAAGCCTATTCTGCTGTTCTGGCACTTACATGATACTGTAGATCAATTGATTCAAATTTTCCCTAAACTATCGCATTCCATTATCACACTGTGGCTTTAAAGTTGCAACATAAATCGGTAATTTTAAGTATCCAACTCATCGCCATACTGCATTTATTAAAATTAAATTAATATTTTCTCTCATTTTGCCAGCGTGTAAAAGGGCTACTAAATACTTTCGTAGTCCTTAACTTGGCACACACTAGATCTTTGCTGCGTTAATTAATATTCCTATTCCTCATCATTTAATT